CCACGCAATCTGCACATCGAGATTCACAAAGTGCTGCGCCTGCCACGCAATCTGCGCATCGAGATTCACAAAGTGCTGCGCCTGCCACGAACTCTGCACATCGGAGATCCAAAATGAGCAAATTGCACGAGGCTTTCGCAAATATTGAAATGCGTTTCAGAAATGCTGTGCCTGCCACGAAATCATGCCTGCAGGTCATACGAAATGCTGCGCTGGCCACGCAAAATCATCCTCAAGGTCAAAGTCCAAAAATGCGACCCCTCTCACGAATTCAGCCGTTTCACCTCAAAATATCGCATCCATGGTGCGCCTGCCACGTGAAACGCAGTCCTGCGAATGACACACGCCTGCCAACATTTTTGCAACGTCGACAAAACACTGCGCCTGCCACGAAATTTGCAAAGTCTCCGATTCCTTGCACCTGCCACGTAAAATGACCTTTTCGAGGCTCCAATGTGTCGAATTCCTTGCGCCTGCCACGCGAAATTCACTTCAGGTCCGAAAACGAGCACGGCACCTGCACGAGAGCTTTGTCCCGGAAGCGCGAAAACCGCGACCCCCACTTTATGCGAGCCTGCGCAGTCGAAATGGACATGAGGAATTCAAAAAGTAACTTTTGTGCGAGCCGGCCCACGCAACATGCCGGGGCCACACGCGCGAACCCTGATCTAAACCCGCTTAACTCTTACCGTAAGAACCCCTTAGTGCGGAGCACTATTTGGGGAACTAAACTAACTAAACTAACTAACCAGTCCTTTTGTCCTCTCCTTTCTCCTTCAGGAGATCCTACCCTTCTCAGCAAGGCGGGTGGAGAAGACACATCAAGTCGACTCGGGTTGGTCAGAGTGGTATCGTTGTTGTTGTTGTTGTTGTTGTTGCCAACCTTTTACCACGGTTCGGTGGTTGGGAGATTGGAGCAAACCCGAACCACAGTGAGCCGCACATCCAAAAGGTTCCCTTAACACTGAGTGATTCACAAGACTGTTCACCACCCAAAGGGTTCAACTGCAAAAGAACCCGCAACAGTTTTGTCATCATTGATCATCACGAGACGGGGGTGCCGGTTGAGGACCTTGGGGGCTGGCTGCCCGCTGGATGGGACAAAGCAAACCAGGTGACATCACAAGGTGACTCACAAGGTGACTCTTAGAGTCGCAAGTAACTCCAACAGAGGTTCTTGAGGACCCGACCCCTTCGACTATCCCATGTATATATGTTTTATAATATCATATATATGATATACATACCGCAGATGACGCGGGGGTCCTATTTCAGGTCACAAGCAACCTCCCTGGGAAATTCATCTCAGCTCAAGTTCCTCACCTCGCGACGTGCCGTTGGTGCCCTGAGGGACCTGCTGGAAGGGCATTCCTCAGCGTGGCAGGTTGACGACCGCGAGAGGAGTGAGAGTTGGGGTGGGCTGGCTCCGGCTCTTTTGCGCCGATGAAGAGAGGGGTCTCTTGAGTGACATTTTGCAGCAAGAACATGCAAAAAGCCTTTTTGGCATGTCACAGGTCACACGTCTTTTTTTCCCACCATGAGGTCTGACAGTCAGGTTACGGCTTCGAACATAAAATAAGTGAAGACGAAGGCTCTGCAAGTTTGGCCCAAGGAGTCCTCCAATTGTGGACCTCCTCAGCGGTGCGAGACATGAAAAGACCGGCTGCAAAGCCAGCTGCAAAGTCGCCTGCAAAATCAGTCAAGAAGCCGGTAAAGGCGCTTGCTGCTGCATGGCTGAAATGGGTGCCCACGGAGGAGAAGCTGCGCTTCTTGCCTGGAAAGGCAAGATGGCATCCTGATCATCCTGGTGTTCAACATGCCGGTGACATTGGACAGAGTTGCAGTGCCAGCGGAGCCGATGATTATGTAAACCTGGACGCAGATCTGGAGTTTGGAACCTTCGAGATGCCCAAAGTCGTAAAGGGTGGGAGGAAAACCACCAAAAAGAGCCTTCGGCGCCGGGGCTTTGTCAGTGGGAATCCTGGAAAGGAGATCCACTTGCAGTGCGCCTACGTGAAAGCCATGTCTGTGGACGCTGCTTTGAAAAGGCTCAGGGAGTTTACGGCAGTGACGCCCGACAACTTGGACCAGCGTTGCCGCTACCCCGAGGAGAACCCGCTCGAGCCTATCCTTGACGGAATTGATGACGAGTGCAGCGCGTACCAGGCAGCAGGAACAGAGATCAAACGTGGACTCTTAGACTACATTGAAAGCAAGGGCATGGACGTGGGCAAGAAGAAGGCAAGGAGTCATTTCCAGGCTATTGTGGTGGAAGCATGCAATGAGAAACGCAATGGGCATATTTGGGGCGAGGAGAATCCCAAAGCTGCTATGGACCAGCTCAAGAAGAAGCTCACAGCGGCGAAAAACGAAGACAGGCGAAAGATCGCAGCGCAGATCGAGCACTTGAAGAAGCAATGGGGTTTTTCATCGAGAGATCCTGATGATCCTGATGACTCTGATCATGGTGACGATCGAGCCCACAATGACAGCAAGCTTCGGCGTCATGATGCCATGATCATCCACATTGCTCGATGCAATGCAAAAACGGCATGCGCTCGAGTGGCTCTATCAAAGCGGGTTTTCCGAACCCTTTCTATCCTCAACCCATGGACCGGCGAAATGTATCCTGTATGATATATGAAGTGGATTCTCTGGTGTGAACTCTTCACTCTGCAGACGCAAGAGCGAAAACATACCTGACGTGCCAAAGGTGCCGATTGACTGATGGGCCAAGGGTGCCGATTGACTGACTTGCCAAAGGGTGCCCAATTGGTCAGTCCAAATTTTGAAACATGAGATCTGACCAGGCCCGGCAAGACCGCTCTGTGTCTTGCGCGACCAAGGCGTTTCTGGGGCATTTCGGCACAAGGAAGAGGAGAGTATGTGGTGTGTGAAGACAAGTTCCAAGCAAAACGGACCACGGAAACGGCCGTTCACCTAACTCTTTGAGTCGATGTAGTACGTCTCTGCTCGATCGCCCAAGCAACTGTCCCCTAGCAGCTCATTCGAATTCCTGTTCGCCCGGCCCGCATCTTTGCAGGTCTTCTTGGCCTATGCGGCGAGCTGCTTCCCCAACGTGGGCCCTCGTGCGCGGGAGGACCTGGGTCTTCAGCCTGGAGGTACCTTTAATAGTAGACTTTCTGGTATATAGTTCTCATTGAAACACTGAGACTCCTCAAAGTATGTCGGAAAACGGGTACAAGTACCTGTTTTTGTATGGTCATGTGCCATTTCCCTACTTCGAAGGGTCCAGGTTTTGTGGCAGTTTTGCGATGTTTGATGATTTTTGTGAGGTTGTGTTGCTTAAGCAACAGGCGTTGTGGCTAATATGCGGGCATTTTTCAGTTCTTAGCCGCTTGTGATTGTGGGCGTTTGCATCAAGAAGTGGTGTAAAGATGGACACTGCCCAGATTTCACGACGGATGCATCTTCACCAAACCTCTTTGCGGAAAAGGAAGAGAACCCCGAAGTGGAGCTGCCTGACACCTGTGGCCCGAGCAACACGAGTCCCGAAATCCTCCTAAGAGAGCTCAGTCACTGGTTGGGGGGCACCGGACCGGAACTCTCCGAGGGAAGTCCGAGCTCAGTGAACCGCGCCGCGGTGTGAGGACTTTGGATTGGCGCTGGCGGAGGCATTGAAACCCGGGACACCGTGGGTGGAGAGGAGGTTCCGAGCGCGCGGGCGTTTTCTTTGGAACACCCCACCGGGCGTTCCGAATCGATCTCGGCCGAAACAACCTCGCCGAGCCGGAGCAACCAGGTCGAGAGGTTTCTGGCCGTGGTCTGAAAATCACTCAGCCTCAGCCTCGGCGACGTCGCATCCTCTCTCTCCGCTCCGTCTCCTCGGCGGTTGAGGAACGCGTCTGGACGCGAGCGTCGCCACCAGGTCCCCGTCGATCCCCCCGAAAAGGGGACGCCGAATCGGGATCCACACGATCCACCCGGAGGTCGGTTTCTGCAATACGGATGTCGTTATTTCCTCCTTGGAACCCACGTGTGAACCATCGGGCAGGGTTCGTGGTCCGTGTGGTCCACGTGTGAAGTACGTATGGAACAGTACGATACCCAGACACTCCATGTATGCCATATATGCCTACATTGGCCCCCCAAACCACCCCAAACTCCCATATATGGCATACATGGAGTGTATGGGATATACGTACATCATCGTACATCGATATACCAATACCGTTGTTTGGCCAGGCGCAGTCCAATAGACTCACTGCATGGAGAAATCGTTGAACAATGAGGGAATGGTTTGTAGGGTGACCTATATCCTGAGAACTAAAGAGGATGGGTGGAGGGCAGGTCATTCCATGCTTTTCCCACGAGTTGCAGCCCGTCTTTCTTGTACCTTTGGAGGTTGGGTTCTCGAAAGACCCTGGTCAACCCGAAAACGCCCCGAATCACACGGTCGCCGACCGGAAGCCGTTGCGCAAGCCAGCTTCTCGATGGCCCGACTTCGGGTGATGGCTCGACAATCAGTTGACAAGATGATGTTCTGTAGCGCAAAGGGGCAATGCACAAAACCTTACTTGACCTTTATTTGATTTGATTCATGATTGCGTGAATGTGGTTGTTGGCCGGTGTGTTTTTCATGGGTGACATTGTAAGACGGCTTTTTCCAGCAAGAAAACGGCTGTGGGCTGCATCACTGTGAAGTCCCATATTAGCTCGAGCTGATTTCTGGGGGCTCTCGGGGGAGCTGCCTAAATCAGACCCCAGGAACCAAGGGTCAGAGTCTACTTGTTGTACCAGGGGCTTTGGATGATTGCATGGGTGGCATCATGGCATCCAATGTTTGAGTCAGTTGCAACTCATCAGAGTTGCCCATTGTCGCGCAGACCGCAATGGTTTTGCCGTCAAGGAGTCAAGGACTCACTTAAGATTTTTGTGGGGTTTTGATTGAGCCTCCTTGTAACAATCATGGAAGTAGACCATCCTCTGTTTGTAGAGTAAAATCGTTTTTCCAGGGGTCATTTTCTTTGATCAATGGATTGGCCCAGTAGTTTCACCCCAAAGTCCCAGATCCGTGATCGAGCACTTTTTGACCGAGATTGATCGCCGTGGAAGGAGCGCAGCTTAGGGAGTTCTCGTTCACCAGCCAATTGGACAACTGTTGATAGAAGTCCTCACAATCATTCCAGGTTTCTATGAGCTATATATAGCTGGGGCAGCGGTTGTGCAGAAGTTGGTCCAGCAGTACTGCCCAGTTCATGTTTGCTTCAAGCTTTGGAGGATGTGAGATCCCTGGCATGTGCTGCCTTTTTTAATAAGATGTTTCTTTTCTATTCTTTTCTAGCTGGTCGTGAGGCAGAGCGATTTTCACCAGAATTTTCATGTAGTAATTACTTGCTTTTCTGGATTCTAGCAGCCATCGGGGCGATCAGGGTTATATAATAGACAGATACTGTATTCTACTTTCGACTTTCAACAGGGACAAATATACTTCTCCTCCAGGTGAAATATATAGATACACTCCCATTGCCCATGACTAGGACAGTTTGGGCACTGTTGGGCTTCTCGCGAGATATATCAAGGGTTTGGGGGCTTAATGTGACCATGGCTGGACCATGGGTCATGTAGGTCACTTTGCCATGACTTCGTGCCAGCTATTGGACAACAATTATAGAAACATGATGAGGGTCCCTTGTTCTGACATTGAGCGTGAGACCAAATGCATGCATTGTCGCCCGCCGGTACGATGAGACGATTCTGAGAAGGACCTTCCTTGTCTTGATCTCCAGTCCACACTCAATTCTTGGCTGAGTACCTGGCACTTCATGCTTAGGACCTAGGAGACTTGTGCGTGCGAAGCCTCACACTTAGACAGTCTATGCTGCAGTTTGTAACTATAGGCCAGACCACCGGCCAGTGGCACGGGACCGTCAGTTCCCAAGTTGCGCAAGAAGCCCCAAGAACAGTCAGCTCTTGAAGTGCAAAGAACTTTCTGTGTGTGATCATCATGGGTGACGCGCCGTCGCCGCATGTTAACACAGACGTGCAAAAGCTCTTTGCCCAAGAGAGACAAGTCAACACTACCGGCCATTGCACAAAGCAGTTTTAGTTACTACTATAGTCTCAAGCAACGGGGCCGCAGGTTATGCAGTACAAGTCTTCCATGACAATTCGCTCAAACGGTTTGAAAACCTTTTGCCTCAGAGTCGCGCCTTCGCGCAAGCTGGAGGTCACGAAAGGTTGAAAGGTTGCTCGGCAACCTTGAGTTTGATAAGCTTCAGGATTCTCCTCAGTGACCGGATTTTGGGGTCACGAAAATGACTTTTGAATTAGGGGGGCCCCTGGGATCAAATCCTGTTGGGACGGGTCATGCCTCTCAATTTCATCTTTTGGTTCGAGTTTTATCAACAGGAGTCAGGGGGATTCGGACGCCGATCGTGAGGTAGCTTTCTTTCCTGACATTCGTTCAAGTTGACATTCGTTCAAGCACCTACATGCAGTGAGCAACTCCATCCACTTGGTTGGGTTGACATCGTGATTCGCGTAGTTGTTGCAACTAAGATACTTGCTCAATAACGAAGCTGATACTGTAAATCACCCCGGTGGCATGCAAAAGGCTGGGAACGGTCAAAACAATTGACGTCGTAGAAGGGTTGCAAAATGGAAGACACCTGTAAAGTGCGAAGGCTGCTGCTGCTTGGTGGGCTGCTGCTGCTTGGTGGGCTGCTGCTGCTGCTGCTGCTTGCTTGTCTGCTGCTGCTTGCTTGTCTGCTGCTTGCTTGCTTGCTTGCTTGCTTGCCTGCCTGCTTGCTTGCCTGCCTGCCTGCCTCCCTGCGTGCGTGCGTGCGTGCGTGCGCGTGCGCGTGCGTGCGCGTGCGTGCGCGTGCGCGGGCGTGCGTGTGCGTGCGTGTGCGTGCGTGTGCGTGCGTGTGCTTGCGTGTGCTTGCGTGTGCTTGCGTGCGTGTGCTTGCGTGCGTGTGCTTGCGTGCGT